CATCGTGTTTCGACCCCGCTTCAACGAGCGAACAGATATCGCGCGATAATCTTCTCGGTTGTTTCTATTTGTTTCATCCGTGTTTCAAACGCGATATCCGCTAAAAATACTTGTTTCCCCGAATAAGACGATGACAGCGCGATCTTCGGTCGACGACCCTTTTATTTCTACGCGTTCGAGACGCAACAGCGTCGTATCTCCGATTTTCATTCGGGCGTTTCGCACTATTTTCGTATCCGCGTAACAATTTCGACCATCCCGAAGCTCGTTATCATGTTTGTTGCTAGAGTCGTTAAAAGTTTTCCCTTGGAATAGAAGGATCGTCGAGTTATCGGAGCATGTTTGCTCACCCGTCGGCATCCCCTAATTTGCCGAAGCAAATTTTCTGTCTTGAACAGTGGTAAACAACTGCGAACGAGCTTCCTTTCCCTCCAATTTTGCTATCCAATTTTGCCTTATTTTGTAATACCGTAGCATCAACTTCTATAACCTCCTACTTGTTGAAATTGCGATCCGGCCGCGGGGGTTCAGCCAAAGATCCTCGCGCCGAGCGGCGCGGAGCGGCGCGGAGCGGCGCGGCGAGATATTGCAAAACTGAGTTCCCTTTTATATTACCGCGCACGTTAAACCGTGTTCTTATCTAATATTGTGTTGCGCAATGCGCGATACGAATACGAGTCACGCGTGGAGCGATATTAAATTTGTTTTCGCGTTACGATCGCATTTTCGTTTCTCCGCGAGAACCGTGTGTCCGTGTACGACACGGATGCGTACGCGTTTCCGTCGTTTCGCGAGCGCGGCCGAAAAAAAGCATTTGTAATTGTAATTTGCTCGTCGGATCTCTTATCCAAAAGCATATTACGCGCGTTGGGTCTCTTTAAATGCAACCCCGTGTTTTTCGATGCATTATTTGTCGCGGTGTCTCTTTTCGCGAAAAACGTCGGAACGCTTTTCAAACGAGGTTGCGCGGCGTAACGCTCGCGTCCAGCGAATTATCATCGAGTCGCACGCGCGTACAGCTTCGAAAGACGTTCGTTTCATCGTAAACGCGAAATGTCTGCTCGTTAGAGCGACTAGGTATTTAAACAGCAATTAAATTGCACTCGGCATTTACGCGATTGTCGCTTCGTTTATCGCGCGCGAGGCTCTCGGCGCGTTTACCAACATTTTTACATCGCGATAGGAATGTTATCGTTTTCATTATTCAGTTCTCAAGCTAACAAACCGTTGGAAGAATCTCGCAGAGTAAATTCCCGATATCTGTGTCGCGTAGGGACGTTCTTGCTATTATTATTATTATTATTATTATTATTAATATGCCCCAAATTAATAACCACTACCGTCATTTGTCAACTCGAAAGTCAATGCATACATTGTTGGCATCCTCGTTATCGAATGCGCAAGTTAATTAATAATCGTTACAATAATTCCTCGAATCTAAAAGCCAGCGTACGCATCGTCGCTATTCGCGATACGAACGTTGTTATTATCGTTACTATTTGCAAATATTGATACAACGCGAGAATGGGTTGGCCGACCCCCAACGTATTCGCTCTCATTATTAATTTCCCAAACGAGGAACCATTATAATAATTTCTCAAGTTTCTAATCGTTGTAATAATTTCTTAAATTTCTGATGGCCGTAATAACTTCTCCCGATCGTTATAATAGTTTCTTAAATTTCTAATCGCTACAGTAATGGTCGAACCGAAAGATTCCTAAGAATTCTGCGCGAGAAACTACGAACGCGCTGTTCCAGCTCCATCGCGAAGCGTCGGGGAATCAGGAAATCGATCTCATTATTATAAAAAGATTCGCGCGCGAACTATCGGCAAAGGGTTTCCGAACGCTGTGTATATCCTTTAACAAGGAATCGGATAAGTACCATCGGTTTCCATTAAAGGGAATAAGCAAAGCCGGCGTTTCTTAAAGGAGAGATGCCTCGCGAACGAGCCGCCGAACGAGTTTACAGGTAAATTGAAATTGCGTGTAACGCTAACGTGGCCAGGCATAAAGTCGGAACGGAACGCAATATCGGGGGATGGTCGCTTCGGTCGCCTCGCCTCGCCCCGTCTGGCCTCGCCCCGCCTCGCCACGCCTCGCCCCGGCCGGACGAGCGAGCGAGCACGTGCATCGTAACATGCAACGTTAATAATAAAAAGCTACACGTGGTTCGTGACACATCCTATTTCCCTGCGAATGAATATCTCTATTTTTCCAGATAGAGACGAGCGCACTCTTTTCCCCCCCGACTCCGTCCGATACCTAGAAAATCGGAGAAAGGGGCAGAAACGAGATATTGTTATTTTCTCGTGACACGTATCGAAGTGCGGGTAAATCCTGCGTAACGTGGTAGCCGTGTTCCTCGATATCGCGTTACGCGAGCTTCGGAACTAGAGCAAGGAGAGCTACGTTCGAAAGGCGAAGAAAAAGTTTCAACACCGTCTCGATTCGATTCGATTCGATTCCATTCGATTCCATTCGTTTCGCAGAGAAAATCTGTTTACCCAAAGTATCGTTGCGAGCGTTTATCATCGTTCGGTCCGATCGGAATTCGAACCTGTCGCAACCTGTGAAATTTTCGAAAATTAACGTCGCGCGAGCGACTCGCTTTCGATCGTTGTCATTTCGTAGACTCCCCTTTGATCTTTACGAGGATTTTTCGAAACGATTCGATTCTCGAAGCGATGCTTGGCAAGAATCCGCGTCGCTCCGCTTTCCGTGCTAAACCGTTATTTTCCAATTTGTCCAACGTTCGAGAACGCGTTTCGTTCGAACGAATATTTTCGCCGCGCCTCGCGCTTATTTACCGGTTCGTGTTTACCACTCGGAAAGCATCGTCTTCTCGTCAAAGGGTTGCTACCTTCGCTTTTTGAAGTTCCAGCTCCGATAAAACGTTGTCTCTATTACGTCGCTGTACACGGGTAACAACTTCGCAAATTGAACCGCGTTTTTGCCTTCGATAACTTTCCGGGATAGCCTGGAGGGTAGTAATTTTCCAGCGGCGATTTCACCCCTTAACTTCGAATCCCCTCGAATTCTTTGTCGTTGTTCGTTTCACGAATCCGCGAACTTTTTAATATTCCCCGACGCGTTTTTCGCGAAGTTCTCGCATCGGTTTCGTAAACGCGACGCTATCGGGTTTCGCGAATTCGCTGACCGCGTTACAGCGAAACTACACGGCGCGCCCGTTGAATTATACAGCAGCCGCCCCGTATCGTTTCCACCTTGACTATTTCATGCAATGATTTATTTCTGTGGCTTTATTAATGCAATAATCGGACGCGAGCATAGCAACTCTCATCGAACGAGCCGTATCGGCGCGTTCGATCGAATACGTTCCGCTTGCCCAAAGAGCCGTTCGACGACGTACAATTAGAAGTTTCCGCTCTCGCGATTAAATCGATCGATCGACGAATCGCGACGACAAACAACGCGATCCGGGTCAAGTAGTATCGCGCGAGCAGCCTAGACGCCGCGCCGCGTCGCGTCGGAGAAAGTTGTTTGGCGCGTCGAATTTTCGTTCTCCTCGCCCGGCGACCGATTTAGCAGTCTCTTTACAGAAAGAGCGTACTTCGAGCTCGTCGACCCAACCCCGCAATCAAAGGCGAAAGATTCATTGAACCCTACTCTCGACGTCGAAGCACCTCGAGCACCTTCGACTTTCGCGGTAATCGCTGGACGCGGATCTCTCTACAGAGAAGATATTCGAGAGATGTATCGTGGAGAGGATACAAAATTTTAATCGAATAATATTCTGAAACGCATCCAACGACAAATTTGCGTTCAATTTATCGGTTCCAGGAACAAACTCGTCGAATCGGCGGTTCATCGCCGATCCCGATATCGAAATAGTTGTTAAGTCGACGCGAAATCCTGTTCCCTTCGTCGCTTGTAATTTTAAAAAATCTTTCGTACGCTAAGATATAAATACAAAAAATGTTTGTTAAGCGCTGGTCTCGCGCTTACCTATTAAGTTCACGCGCGACGACTCGGATTTGTATAATCTATCGCGCGTGGGCGCGTCCCACGCAACCCTTGGACCGCGTGCAACGAAAACAATCGATAAATAATTAATCCTGACGAGAACGATGGGCGAAGCGAGGAAATTTTACGAAACGCGAAGTCGATGTCGTTCTAAAGCGCGGCTTTGACTCCGTCCAAAGGGAAACTTTGTACACAGACTCGCGGACAACGTTGCGTTTAACAATTTCATTTCAGACCATGTGGGCGCGGTTTAATTTCCGGTCCAAAGCGTAGAATTCATCTTTAGCTGGCGGTGATGGGATCTCCTAGTTTTTCTTTGTTCGTCGAATCCGTTTAAACCGGTTACGATTTTCATTCAAAATGTGGGCACGCTAATAAAATAGTCTACGATGAAACGCGAGTAGAAAAGAAGGATGCTTCGATCGAATTCGATGCGAACCCTAGCGAATCCTCGCTGGAAGATTCGAATTTATCAACGCGGGACCGTGATCGAAGCCGGAGCTAGGTGCAGCGAATGTTTCTTTTGTTTTAGAAGTCGCAACGTTCGTCGAGGTAATCATCGTAATTCTAATCGAGAGGAACAGGCGAATTATTATTTCGACGGCCCGTTGTATCGTAACAGGTGGATCGAAAATCGCAGCTACTTTCCCGGGTAACCTGGTAAAGCGAAAAAGATCGAGACTCTCGAGTACGTAGCGCGACCGAGATTTTATCCGGCGATCGGTCGAAAGGGGGATGCAACGTTTCAGCCTTCGGCCCCAGCCGCGCGATCGGTCGAAGAAGGCTACGATCGAGCGAATCGTTTGATCCATTTTTGAAGGATCGATACGACGCGTCTCTGGTTCGAGCAGGCTTCCCGCGCGAGAGCCGACGATAAAGCCGAGGGAACAATGGCGATTCCGAATGAATACGCGAGCGCCGCGCGCCGCGCGCCTCCAGTCGTTCGAGGGGTGTTAGTTAGGTAATCGACGGGCCACGATCGAACTCTAAAACGGTGCGCGATTTGTTTACAGTACTTGGATAATGGCACGACAATCAAATTGACGGACGTACGTTTCGAGGCGTCCGGCTCGTATTCCTGTCAGGTCTCGATGGCGTTTCCTATTTATACCGAGGCTTCCGAACCCGTTCAAATGAAAGTTATAGGTAAGTGCCAGCGATACTTTGCTTCTGCTTCGTTCGATCTCCGATCGCGATTTAACCCTCCTTGGATCGTCGATTTTCATCGAGCATTTCCAGACGAATCCGAAGCAAAAGTACCGATGCTTTGTCATTTTTCTATTTACGACGATATTTTGCGATACGATCGATCTTTGCGAGGTCGTCCGTGACATCGTACGCCACATCTACAGATATTCGGTATTCGTGAGAATCGTAAAAATAATCGAAAATCTTTTTTTGGTAAAAATACTCTCTACAGGATCTTTCTACATTATCGCAATGTTCGCGCAAACTTTTAACCAAAAACTAGTCGCGAAATCGTTCTCGAATTCCGTCGAACCGATTAAATTTGAGGAGAACGCAAACACGCGTCATTTCTACCTGCGCCTTTTATTTCGATTGTATCCGAATGTGCGCAAGAGATGCGGCTGTATCGCGGAAACGAACGATGGATATGTTTGAAAACATCCGAATATGCGTCGATGAAACGGAGGGAGGATGTATCCGATGTCAAATTGATTGACACGTTCGCCGACCGGATGCCCAAGTTTGAACGAACTGGAACCGCGATCGGTTTTTCGAGCGTTGCATCGCGAGACCGCGGATCTTTGCGCGAAATCAAAAATTGCTGCACCGGTTGCAAGAAACGAGAGTGGCCTTCTTTCCTTCTGCAACAGTTTGAATAAAGCACACCGACGTTCTGCTCGCTGCTGCTCGAAATTACGCCGACTCGTTTCTGTCGGAAGCGCCCAAGGATCCTCGGTCCGTCGATTAACCGTCCAAGTTTCGGTCTTTGGGGCTAAAGAGTTGGCTCTTCGACCGACTTCTTTTTTTACTCGCTCGTCCGCATCGGCTGTCGGAATTAAAAATCCTACGAGCCAACGCGTCGATAAGAACTACGCTCGTAATGGCACGACGGGGGCCCACCCCTTCCTCGAGGAGATCCCTCGAACCTCGCTCAGGGGCGAGCAGATTTCCAGGGGAATGTTTCTAAAAGTGCGAACGCTTCGTAGCATCGAGCTTATCGAATCGGATATTTTCCATGCAACGGTCGCGGGAATTTCGTGGTAAATCGCCGAAGCTCGTTACTCATTCGTGGACATTTATGCGAATCCTCGTGTTTGTAGCCGCCGGCCGCTTTCACGGATAGCAGGATCGAAGAAAAACGACCGTCGTCTGTTAAAGGGATTTCTGAAACAACGAATAAAATAAATACCGGGCGTTGATTCGCTGCAGCTTCGTTGAAATAACGCGCGATACGAAGCGTGCAACAGTTGAGAACGATAATTTCCCCCCGCGATTTGTAATCGTCGAATAAACTGCGGCGCGAGAATGAATTTATTGTCGGCAAATCGTGTTTTCATTCGGTAAACGAATGCGCGCTACGACGGAACTTGGAGAAACATAGAAATCTCTGCGGGCGATTTTTTTGTTACGCGAATGGAAACGTAATCGACTGTTTGCGAAACGGTGTTCGTCGAACAGGTATCTAATTAAAATACGCGGCGTCGGTGGGGGTTGGAGCGGGGCGGAGAGGGGCGTTCGTTTCGGTCGATCGCCGCGCGGAAGGGTCGAACGATAAAGCCTGTTACCTCCTGCCCCCGCTTTGCCCCTACTTCTTCGTTGTCCGATTAATTAATTATGCAATCGTACCGGCTGTACCGTGAAATAAAATCGTGATAAAACACGGCGTCTTTGCAATTATAATGCGCGACTCGAGCGTGAAAACGTTGCCGGTTCGTTCGTCGGCATAAATTCTCGTGGCCGCGGCATAAATATATCGAGTGGGTGCGTTTACCTCGATACGCGAAAAGAATGGATTCGTGGAGCTCGGTCGAGAGCGAAGAAAACGCGCCGCTCGGTAGAAAACGGACGATCACGTGTTCGAACGAGAACCATAATTCGGGGCTTGTTTCCGACTCGATCCGGCACGGTCGTCGAACGACGCCGTTACTCAAATTTCGAACGTTTTCATTATTTCGACCGATTCGGCGGTCGCGTTTTGTACGCGCGCCGCGGCCGATTCTACGCATCGATTTAATCGGGATTTCCACGAATGAAATTTATTCGCGAAGGTTGTATTATATATTATACCGGTTCCGCGCTCGATCGAAGCGAACGATCTCCGTTATTTACAAAGCGGCTCGCCGTTGTCCGAACCGAGCCGGCGTTCAAAGCCGGTTCCGGAACATCGATCGGTGGAAAACTATATTTTAACGTATTCCGCGGAAAAGCGTTTCGGTTCGTCGTCGTTCGATCCGACGACGGATTCGGCGGGAACATCGAACTTGTACAACTTTCAACGGTGTTAACGATTTATTTACAAACGAACGTTCTGAAATTGGACAGTACCACAGACTGAAAACCCGAAGATCACGTTCAAGAAAAGCATGTACGTGGTCGGCGAAAGTCTAGAGGCGAACTGCACCTCGTCGGCTGCGCATCCAGTTCCTCATTTGACGTGGTTCATAAATGGCAAAGAGGTAAATATAAACAACGACGTATTGCTATCAGCGCTGTATTTCCTTATCGAACCTGTCAACATTTGTACCAGCAGACCGTACTCCGATCGTTCGTCGTTCGTTCGAGCAGTCGATTCGCTCCCGCAAAAGTTGTTTCGTAAGCAACGATCGAGAGTTTCAGCATAAATTAACCCTTTGCAGTCGAAGCTATTTTAACTGTAAATTTAAAATAATTTTTCTGATTCACGGTATCTTCATTTTATACGACAAAGCGCATTTTATGCATGCGAAATTGAGTCTTGCGACTTACATAACTGTTACACTTTTAACAATCTTTTATAATCTAAACTTTGTTACTGTAAAAATGATCTTAGAACGTGATATAACAAATCTCAGCGGTGCTTCGGAGTCACCGCTCGAGTGCAAAGTTTCAAAAAGTTTCACGCTAAACCTACCGAGCCCTAAAATGCCTTTAAACCTAAAGGTATTCGATCGTTCTCTGCGAAAGGGTCTCTCTAATTTCATCAACCATGAAAGAAGAAACGCGCGTAACCGGTCGTTTCGATCGGCTCGACGGGTCTGGGTTAACGCGCGTACGATTGGCCGTTCGACGAGCGCAAACTCCGCCTCCGGAGTGCCGAGTCCGATCTCTCGGTTATCGAGTGCCACCGGCTATTGGCTGCCGGCTACCGCGAACGGTGGATAGAGAGAAACCACGTGTGTCGGAAATTAGCTGTCGATCGCTCGGACGTTCGAACGCGCGGCGAAGATTGCGGAGCGCGAGAAACTCGAGGATTCTTATTCGGTGGTTTCTGCGTTTGTCTCGCCTAGGTGGATATCACGCTGGTGAATCACTATCCGCACACGCGTCGCAAGGACCAACTGATGTCCGCGACTGCGAAATTAATGATCGAGGTGTCCGCGTTGCACGCCGGGGAGAACGGCTACTTGGAGATCAGCTGCTACTCGACCATCCCGAGCTATCCCGTGAACGAGCAGTACGCCGACATCAGGAAGGAGACGGTCTCGGGTAATTATTATTTGGCTCGACGTGCGTTTTCGTCCGGAGCGAAAGCTCCTCCGGTCCAGCGACCGTCGGGCCAGGTTCGTCAACGGGCCACGCGGCTTTTAATCGGTTTTTCATAGTCGCGCGAAACGATCGAAGTTTCGTGGACCATGGGAGATCGTAAACACGAAAGCATTTTCCTTCGGAACGTGTTCGCGGCGAAGCGACTTTTCGTCGCCTTTGGCCGATGACGAACGTTCCCAACGGACGGCAACGTTGCGTTTAAACTTGGTCGAACGCGCCCCTTCTGTTTGCGTTATTTCGTTCACTGGCCACCATACAAATGCTGCAATTCTCGCAAGAAAATTGTCCTTCGATCGTCGCCGGGGANGACTTACATAACTGTTACACTTTTAACAATCTTTTATAATCTAAACTTTGTTACTGTAAAAATGATCTTAGAACGTGATATAACAAATCTCAGCGGTGCTTCGGAGTCACCGCTCGAGTGCAAAGTTTCAAAAAGTTTCACGCTAAACCTACCGAGCCCTAAAATGCCTTTAAACCTAAAGGTATTCGATCGTTCTCTGCGAAAGGGTCTCTCTAATTTCATCAACCATGAAAGAAGAAACGCGCGTAACCGGTCGTTTCGATCGGCTCGACGGGTCTGGGTTAACGCGCGTACGATTGGCCGTTCGACGAGCGCAAACTCCGCCTCCGGAGTGCCGAGTCCGATCTCTCGGTTATCGAGTGCCACCGGCTATTGGCTGCCGGCTACCGCGAACGGTGGATAGAGAGAAACCACGTGTGTCGGAAATTAGCTGTCGATCGCTCGGACGTTCGAACGCGCGGCGAAGATTGCGGAGCGCGAGAAACTCGAGGATTCTTATTCGGTGGTTTCTGCGTTTGTCTCGCCTAGGTGGATATCACGCTGGTGAATCACTATCCGCACACGCGTCGCAAGGACCAACTGATGTCCGCGACTGCGAAATTAATGATCGAGGTGTCCGCGTTGCACGCCGGGGAGAACGGCTACTTGGAGATCAGCTGCTACTCGACCATCCCGAGCTATCCCGTGAACGAGCAGTACGCCGACATCAGGAAGGAGACGGTCTCGGGTAATTATTATTTGGCTCGACGTGCGTTTTCGTCCGGAGCGAAAGCTCCTCCGGTCCAGCGACCGTCGGGCCAGGTTCGTCAACGGGCCACGCGGCTTTTAATCGGTTTTTCATAGTCGCGCGAAACGATCGAAGTTTCGTGGACCATGGGAGATCGTAAACACGAAAGCATTTTCCTTCGGAACGTGTTCGCGGCGAAGCGACTTTTCGTCGCCTTTGGCCGATGACGAACGTTCCCAACGGACGGCAACGTTGCGTTTAAACTTGGTCGAACGCGCCCCTTCTGTTTGCGTTATTTCGTTCACTGGCCACCATACAAATGCTGCAATTCTCGCAAGAAAATTGTCCTTCGATCGTCGCCGGGGACCTCGAATGTTCGTCGGATCGTTCGCGTTGCTCGCGAATGCGGCATTCGGCGAATACGATCGGCTCTTCGATATCTAAATACCACGATCTCGACCGCGTCTCTCTTAAAACGGCCGTCTTTACTTTCTACGTTCGAAGAAACGCGTATTTTAACGGTTACGGTTCGGCCGGCTCTCGCCGATAATCGCTGCTCGTCGTTCGTTATTATTACATTATTTCTGCACTTTGTTATCGTGTTATTTCCAATTTCGCCAAATAATTCTCGTCTTTTCGTCCAGCCGGCACGCGACGAGTGTATTAAAAATTATTTTCTGCGGCACGCGTTTACAATTACACCGCGCGATTCGATTGGCACGCTTCGATGTAATATTCGCGGCGCAGCTTTGCAAGTAAAATTCGGTTGCACGGCGAAAACCGAACGCTGAAAACTTTCGGTTCGCCAACGGTTCGCTGTTTTTCTCGTCCGATGTCTCTAACGCGTCTCGCGCACAGTTCACGTGAAATTATCGTAATTACTGGATACAACATACGAGGAGGCGTATTAAAGGAACGCGAAAAATAGGCGAGTCGCGCGGTCGGGGGAAAAACGCACGAGTTTCCTAATTAAAGCGTTTCCTTTTGAAGCGTCGCCGTGCCGCTGAAAAAGGAGTTCCTCGATTAAGAACGGGAATTTCGCGCAACGTATCGTATCGCGGGCCGGGCCGGGCCGGGCTCGTGTTCGCGGAGTTTCGCGAAAATATGGTCTCGGTTCTCGAGTCGCTGGCGCCGCGTGTATCGCCGCGAGCCAATTGTCATTCGTGACTTCTATTCGCGAGTTCGAAAGCCGCGGGTCGCGGGAAAAACTGTTTACGCGAAAGCTGTTCGTACGATATCCACCGTGTCGAAGTCGTTTCGTTATCGTTTTATTGCGCGGTCGCCCGGGCGATTGTTTTCGGGCGTTGAAGAACGCGGCCTACGTTCGATCGGAATTCGTCGGAATTCGTTCAACGGTTTTATTTCGACGACGATCGAAATCCAGGAGAAACAGCTTCATTGTTATTACATCGCGAGTTAAATAAACTTTCCGATTTTCATCGGCATGAATAAATCAGCGTTGTCGTCCGCGCTACGGACATCGTGAAAATTGTACGTATGCACTCTATCGCCTATCAAAAAATTCAGTTAGAAGTATTCCTGGATACCGTTCCGGGCGACATACTTTCCGCTGCTCCGATCCGTTTCGGTGGGAACGACCACGACGAAACATAGTTGCCGGGTTATCTCGAACGACTCGCGATCAGCGTGCTCTCGCTCGATCGCGAAAAATCCTGCGAGGAGATCGAACGTTAGAAAATCGGATTTTCGAGTCTCGCGGCAGCAGAAAATTGTTTTCGTTGCGGAACGACGTTCGAAGAAGACGAGAAACGGCGCGACGCAGTTTCGAAACGATTTCCTACAATATCTTCGGTAATAAATTATTACGACTACGGAATTCGAAGAGGGATTACGAGCGAAGTACGAGCGCAAAGAGCATAATCGGGGATACATATTTGATGGAACTTCGACGATCCTTTCGACCTAAAAATCCTGCAGCAACGTTGCCGTCTGTAAATATCCAGAAATCCATTTACATATATGTATATACATAATGGTAAGTTGTAATTTGAAATGTTCCGACATGTTCGAAAGAATGGAGTCGGATCGTTAACTTTTTCTAACAGTGTTGCTGTTTCGTGTTTCATGCATGTACTCGTATATGTTTTTATGTACACGTTGTACAAAAGTTCGCTAGCGAAGGCGAAAGCTATATGCTCGTTTGAATAACAGGTGCCGAATCGTTGGCACGATCGTTCCCGATCTCTAGAAAGCGTACGGAATTGTTCTTAGAAATGTTACCGCGTATACATCGAACTGCAGTAATGTCTCTCTAATCGACGCTCGGATTGTCCACAAAAATGGACAATTTGGGAAGGGCAGATACGATTATTCGAGTCTCGCGGCTCGTTTCTATAATTGTTGACAATTCGTAACTATAAAAACAAATCGCAAGGCTCGAACAATCGTATCTCGTTCTCCCCAAATTGTCCAGTTTTGTGGACAATCCGAGAGTCGGTTAGGGAGACGTTACTGTACCTGCTTGTATGTTACGAATGCGGAGCCGCGACAAAATCTGCATGGAGAAAAATCAGCCTGTTGTTGAAACGAGCGAAAGGAAAGATATCTTTTACCATCGATAGAAATAGACGTTGCAGCTGCAACGAGCGAACCTAAAAACCTTGAGAAAACTTGAGAATTTGCGAATCCGCGAGTTCGTAAATTCGTAAACTCGCGTTCAGCTGAAACGTTTCGAAGCGAAAGATCGCTCGTTGTTGCTTCGGCGTGGAGGCATCCGATCCGAGCTTTTGTTCCAGCCAACAAGAAAAGATCTGTTCTCGGTTGTTTCAGTGCAAATTATACCCGCGCCGATCGTCGTTTCCTCAGCACTGAGAATCGCGCAAGGGTGGGCCCTACCTGCGATACTGTACACACTCTGCGCAATGCACAAAGTCATTCCTTAATAAAAGTCAATTGCTTTAGGATAATTAAAACAAAGAAACAAGAGAGAAAAAGCGAAATGGATAAAAAAAGAAAACGGGAGGAGCGAAAAAACGGAGAACGGAACGAGCGAACGGAACGAGAGATACGCCGTACGATAAATATGTATACATAATCGAGAAGGAACGAGCGGCGATCTGTAGAACGGGCTGAATTTTCGGGGGAGGGGGCGGGGAGGAGTGTCGGATCTATATACATATATATTATTATATATATATATATATATTAATGAACGAACAATCACAATGTCTTCCTTGATTATACCGAAATACACGGGGGCAGCGGTTTTATTGTCTTGCTGAAAATTTTATAACTCATAGACGCGGCTTCTTCGTGCAAAACTATTTTCGATTGTCGCTTGTATCGATCGTTATCTATGCCACGGAACGTAATACCGGCGCGGCGAGGACGCTCGCGCTCGTTTCGCGGAGCCTTCCCGCGACGGAGCATGGCTTGCGATTAGAACAGGAAAAAACAAGGGAGAAGAAGAAGAAGAAGAAGAAGAAAAACGATACGACGACAAAAATGACGGCGGAAAGAACAAAAATGTGAAAGAGAGGAAGATACGCGACGACGAGAAACCGTAGGGAAACATTAAATATTATAGTACGCTCTCGTCTCGACGAGGAAAAGGATCTTTGCTTTCAGGGGACTTTTTGTCCTCCTCGTTCTCTCTCTCTCTCTCTCTCTCTCTCTCTCCCTCTCTCTCTCCCCCTCTCTGATTTTTTCTGTTCCTGTTTCTGTCTCGAAATAGAGGAAACTGTACAGTGCACGGGCGCATTTTTCCGATTGGTCGCTCTCTCGCGTCGACCACGGTAAGATCGAAACAGTGTGAACGGGTTTTCGCGTCTCTGCGTCGGTTCGGTACGGTTCGGTTCGCGAAATCGAACGGTACCCGTGTTTCTTTGCCCGCCTTGCATCGGATCCTTTAAATCACGTTGACGCTGTTAGATAGAACGACTATCGTTTGTTTTATACTCGATCGACGATAAGAGTTTACCGTGTAAGTACTCGTGTCGTAGGATTAGTCGCGCGACATCGTTTCATCGTCCATGCCCGTGGCATGGCAGATCCATGGCAAGGTCCATGGCGCACACATATCCGTAATAGTACCTAAAGGACACAGAGATTGTATTTGGCTGTCGCGGTTCGTCGAGTCGAGTCGCGTCGCGAGAGGCGATCAGGGTTGCCACACCTAACGGAGATCGGTCCTCGAGACCGGATCGAATCGAGAAACGCCACGATCTATTTTTCTTTAGAATTCTCGTGGACGCCGCATCGTTTTATTCGCTACCCGGATGAATATTTTCACCGCCTACGGTCAGGGGGATGATCGCTTGTTTCGCGACGGCGATTTCATCGTCGACGCGCACCAAGAAACTGTGGCAATCTTTCGTATCGCGCGTTCGATGGATAAATTTAATCGGTGATCGGCGCGACGCGCCGATCAGGGGAGGACACGGTCCTGGGAATCGGCCGCGATCCCGTTGGCCGAAGACGTCGACGATCGTTCGCGAAATCGGATTTCAGATGTCGAAAATTCAAACAGACTCGTTCGATCCGAATCCTTGTCTCGGAGTTCAGTTGCCGGACTTTTCGCATCGATCTTCGGCTCGACGGAGTCGAAGAATCTTTATTAATTCCAGATAAACGAGCGGGGCTCTTTTACATTGGCAAGAAACATTTTCCACATTTTCCATTTATCCAGCTGGAAGTTGTTCGGATACGATAAAATAATATCCGAAGTCCGATTTCCGATTCAACGATCGACGCGTCGTACGATTTTTAGTCGGTCCCTCGGAAGATTCCCGCGTCCTTCTCCCCTATAAACGGACAAGCTGTGTACAATGAATGTCAATTCGTAGATCGAATTTCACGTTTACGGTTAAGAGGCGTAAAGCCGGATGTTTAAAAACGACTATTTTCAATGGTGTCGCATCGATTTACGTTGCCTGTTTTCGTCGACGACCGAAACGAGGATCGTTCGTATCGAGTTATTTTTCCTGAATCAATCGATAACCAAAGACAAACATTGCGATCGATCATTTAACAGAGCCCTAGTTCGTAAACACGTGGAAGTAATCGTATCCGAATCACTCTGTCATCGGCTTAAGTTAAAAAATAAGAGACGATTATTACGATAACTATACATACCATACCTCTACGAATAAATAGTACACATACGTATTGCGGTATGTAAGAGCTTCGTAACGTGTGCACGTGAGTTTTATTCTAAATTTTATCAGATATTTATATACCTATTGTTGTACGCGTACACGCACACACGTACACGCATACACACACAAATACATATATATCTATACGTATATTTACGAAGAATAGCGTACGCGTAAATCTAGGTAGTTCGAAGTAAACACTGTACCGACAAATCACAAAGTAAGACTGTTATTCCTTGTTACTCGTGGAGAGATGCGTTGTTATATTAATAATGTTGTTCGTTCGTTCGTTTGTATCCGTGCGTCATTTTCATGCTTCGTCGCGATCCTTCCGATCTCTGCGAGGATGGAAACTCCTTGGATGTTAATTTATCGAATCGTTGCCGGCCCGATATCGTTTCCGGGCAGGGATTTGCACCGAAAGTGCCGCGAAAGGTACCGAAAATGACCGGAAAGCCGGCATCGCCAATTTCTTGTCTCATTTTTAGCCGCATTAATCCCGAGAGGATACTTTTACCGGCACCGATCGTCGTCTTCCTGGTTTTCTCGGATAGTTTATCGTCTAGACCGCCGATAATGGACAACGATCGTCGCAGTTCCGGTGTAAAGACCCTGGTCGGGACACTGCGAATCTATGTTTGTACTCTCGGTTCGTCAGCCTATGGACTATGGGAACCAAGAAAGTGAAAGAACGATCTTCGAGTTTTAAAATCGCTCGATCAATTTTTAATCCGATCGAAATCTTGCTTCGACCGGAAGATGGTATCGCTCGATTCGATTTCCCACATTCTAAAACGGTAATCGATTGTTTAACCTCGACTAAAAAAACTGTTCGAGTCGGTGAACAACGTTCGAATCGCTCGAACTCGATTTAGCACCGAATCGGAGAAATACGTCGAATTTATATAAATAATACAAAATAATTTATACAAATAAATTGATTGAAATCCGAAGAAACTGTAATTGAATATTTTCGGAAAAGTAGAATCGAGTACTGTCGATGGTAGAATCGCGCCTATCCTCGCCTACGAGACGATTCCGAGGCGAAAATTTCACGATCGCGATCGAGCGAATGCTTAGCTTCCACGCGATAATCGAACGTACGAATTTCCATGGAATTCGACGAACGGGACCGGCTTCGGAAGCCGTCGTATCCCGGTCGAAAGAGGCCGATGTCGCACGCGTGTATTAATGGATTCGATTATCGGCGAAACGTCGACTTCAAACAAAGATCCGCAGTGTACCGGTTACAAAGGTAACTTCGTAACTTGAGAAACAGTTGGAGCGTCTCTGTTCCGAGCGCGCGTAATTAACGGATGCTAGGCAAATTTCTAGCACGCGTAGATCGTCCTGGGCCGTCCGACGGTACGGTTCCATCGATTTACCGTCACGGGGCGGCGCGGCTCGGCTCGAGGCGAGGCGAGGCGAGGCGAGGCGAGGCGAGGCGAGGCGAAGCGGCCACTATTTTTAACGGTGCACGGGAAAAAAATAAAAGAAGAAAAGCGAAAGGATAACGACGACAAAATCACAGAGAAGAAAAAAAGTTGCGATGCCTTGTGCGTCGAGCGAAGCGGCGGTCAACTATAATAGGCGGATAGAGGTCGAGAGCCGGCGCGAGGCTTCCCTTTTGTTGTCGCGGGAAGGCCTGGAAAATATATACCGGCGGAAAAACAACACGCGTAATTATAGAATTTCCGTGTTTACGCACGGAGCCCTGCACCGGCGATCGATAAAATCGTGGACGCCCGAGCCGGAGCCGGAGAGCCCGAGCGGACCATCCTACGCGTGCAGGATACTGAAACGCGCGTGATTTAATTTAGCGCAGCTGTTGCCCGATCGCGTTCTATTTGTTAAGTAGTCTGGAGTGCGGAGTGCGGAGTGGGGAGTGTCGGTCGGAAGACGTTCGATACCGTCTAATAAATTCGTTCGGATTCCTCGAAGCTACTTTTCTCGATAGATTTCGAAATTTCAGGCTTCTAAACGTCTTAGAGGACGTGCCGAATAAAGCGTTGCGAACCGTTCTCTGGAGCGCTTCGACGCGTCGCGAGTGCCACGGGGATCACCGGCGACTGGGAACAAACGATTCGGGTAAAGTTCGATGCTTCGGAGTCGAAGCCAATTTTCGTAAAAATCAGGATATTCGGAATCGGTCGACCTCGAAGTTCGTTCCGTCGAGAGAACGGTTCGCGACGCTTTCGTTCGACGCACCCTGTACATTTCGCGTCGTCGAGGTTATTTCGAGAGCACAGGACCCTACCGTGGTCCTAAACTTTGAGTAGTCGCGCATACGACCCGCCGGACCAACCCTACCCTCGCCCTTTCGAACGGCTGAACCATCTTCGGTATATTTTTTGAGGATTCAACGTTATTTTCGCAGACCGTAAAATTTGTCGCGGGCTCTGGGCGCCGTGCCCGAGAAACCCTTCCTGTATATACGTACGATTCCAACGATTCCAGCGCGAACCGCGTAATTTTGAAAAAATCGTTCGCGGTCGAACAACGCGCCGGTGCGCGATTCGCGGCGACAGTTTTTTCAAGAAATTCCGGTTCGCGCCGGAAAGTCCGATGCGACGGGTAAATTTCGTTTCCCGACAGACTGTATATTTTCTAACTATATTTTCTAACTCGCGCAAATTAGTATTACAAACGAATTTACTGTCCGAAAGTTCGAAGATCGTTTCTTGGGTATATCGATACGGAGTCAATTTTGCGAAAGGGTTTACGCGACGACGACGTTTACGAGACACCGAAAACGAATCGCTGTAAATCATCGGGGCTCGTAACGATCGTTTATTTTGGCTCGAAAGAGAGAGGAAACCGATTCGCGAAGCTTCAACGGCGACAGCCGTTTTCTCGCGAAAAGAGATGCGCGTCGATTTCTGTCCAAACGACCGCTTCGTCCGAAACGCGACCGCGAAGCCGTCGAACGCGATCGTCGTGTTCCCTCTAGTTGGATAATCGTTGCTTATTACCGATCGACGCCGGAGTATATCGCGCCATCGAATTAATTTGAAACGCGATACGGTGTAATTTACGGTCGTTATCGCGAGTCGCGTAATTTGGACAAGCACGTTGAATCGGCGTCGAACGAGAACGACGTTATCGTCGCGTCGGCTGCGCGAGGTGTTTTTCTACGGTCGATCGCGGCAGGTGTTGAGGTTTTAATAAACGCGCGCGTCGAACTGGTCGAACGGCGTGTACGGAACGGGAAAATCTAGATAGGAACCGCGGGCGATTATTTAATCTAGTTAAATATAGGTACGAACTCGATTAAACTAGCGATTTATAAAGTAGAACTGTACAGCTTTGTAACTAGACCGGAACAATTTATGGGTACCAATCGCTTTAACAATCAAGTAGCTAAGATAATTAGAGAGATTATCGATAAGCGGACTCTGTGATGCGAAAGAAATTTATTGAAAATTTCCGTTCGGCGATATAGAAAATTGAAAAGGACGAGACTCTCTTCGAATATTGGAGCAATCGAATCGTTTCCGGGTACAAATTGATCGGTCGCGGTTAGCAACCGATCGTTCTTTCTTCGTTCCGCGCGTTTTCCGCGACTGGAGTACCGAACCGAGTACTCGTGGCCGAGAATAAACGGGGAATTCGACGACGATGCTCGCGAGATTAGAAACCGGCCGCTTCCTTTTATACGTAGATCGAACTCGCGAACGGAAACTTTTCGAACGAAACGATTAGAAAATCGAAAGAAAAAAAAACACGTCGACATCGCCGCATCGGTCGTCCACAGCCACCGCTTCGCCAACGATAACCGATCTCTTATTTTCTCGAGGACGATAACAGCCGAATCGGAGCATCGATATCGCCGGAAAATCAAGGTCGCGTCGCGCCGCGTTTCGCAGTTTTCATCGACACCGATTTCGTTTCGAGTTTGGAAGAGCAGCCGCGCGAGCGAACCGTTCGATATCGCTTTAGAATTTCCGGGGAAACGTAGACGCGCGCGCGGCGTCCATCGGTTCGGCTCGTTCGTCGACGAGACGGCGGACGAAGCTGCGCCGTCTTCGAGTATACGACGCGAGCAAGGTACCTAGAACCGTTTCGTTCGGTGAATCTATTTACGCGTAAAGTTAGTATCGACGACTGCCGCTGAAAGAACGTTCGAGCCATCCGAAAAACGGAGCGAGAACGGTCGAATCGCGAGCGCGGTACCCGAAGAAAAAAGGAATCCCGAATCCGAACGAATCCATCGACCGATCGAACGCGTTTCCGGCCCGTCATATCGAGCAACATATCGTAGCGTTAAGTCGGACGCGAAGAGTCGATCTTTCCGATCCTCCCGGCTTCTCGATCGTTGGCGCTTTCGAAGGGATAATAGGCGCGATAATAGCGGCGACGCGATGGAGCCGCGAGGCGAGGGCGAGACGGAGGCGCGTTCGAGCGCGCTCCGTATCGGGCAGCGAGCCGTTGAAACGGAAAACAAAAGGACGACGACGAGGCGAAAGATCCGACAAATTCGGGTCGTTCGCGGCCCGTCACGAGACGCGGATGCGGATGCGGAAAAGAAACAGGATGCTGATCGCTGCCGTGTGCGTCGTCCTCGGAGCGTTGGTCGCCGCTGTCGATCGCGAAGCTTTATCCACCTCGGCGGTCGCCGCGAGGATCGTCGGCGGAAAGCTCGTCGGCATAAAGCATTATCCGTTTCTAGTAGGTGAAATGCGCCCGTCACGTTTTTGCTATGACACACGTGTGTACAGGTTCGATACACGAGAATCACTCTGATTATCTTTGAGAGAGTGCGGCACGCGTCGCAGAGAGCGAGCGAGCGATCGAAAGAAACCGAGAGAGCGCGGAGACTACGTTATCGTACTTCTCGACTCGCGGTGTTTTCCTAAACGTCTCGTTACGGTTCGAAGACGGAGTCCTCGGCGCGGCGCCGCGGCCGCGCCGGCTTATTTTAATTAGCGCGAGCGAAAGACCGCGCGGTGTGTGCGTCCTATCGATGGAATTGATTGAACTAGCCGCGTAGAAGGAACCGCGTAACGACGAAGAGCTTTTCGATTTCTTTTCCGAGACACGGTACTTGTATATCCTGCGGCGCGATCCGGGTATCCGAGCCTCTCGCATCGGCGGCGTACGATCCGCGATCGGTTGGTCCAACGGTCGATTCTTGCTTCGTCGGATCGATTCGATGTTTCGCGACATTTGCATCGATTATACGACATTCGTTGATACGACGTTTACAGCGCGTCTCTCGTTTACATTTATCTTCGAATCGTCGAACGGGAGAGTTTCGAAAGAAACGCTCGAGCATCCTAGCGAGGTCGAACTTTGAAGTATTTTTGAAAAGCGTTTTCGCGAGTACCGGAACGGTATTCGGACGACGGAGAGTTTTAAGATTTCAACGCCGGAGCGACGAAGAATTTGAACAGCCCAAGTACCGGGTATCGGAAGCATTCGAACCGGAGACGAACGATCGCGGATGCGAGTCGAACGAATCGTGCTCGAATCGGCATCGTCGAGTCTCGAACCGGGCCGACGAGGATCTCGGATACCCGTGCACCGCAGGCATCTTGCCGCGCGTATACAGAGGTTCGTTTTTTCGAGCGGATTTCTCAAAATACTGAGAGTGATCGTCGTATATATTCGCTTTACCGATAAGCGGTAGAGAGAGGTTCGCGGACGACGAAACCGAATTTTCAATGTCAATTTCTCGTAGGTCTCGATCCAACGGCGACACGGTAATCATTTCTGCGGAGGTACTTACATAGCGCCGAGATTCGTTTTGTCAGCCGCTCACTGCATGGTCAGGTGCGTTTTCAAGACTGCAACAATTCTCGAGTCTACGCCTCGTTGCCGGAAAATGGCAGCAGCGGCGCGTGAAAATGCGTTCGTTCGTTATCCCGCGTTCTCCTAGGACGGATCGCGAACGATTACCAACGACTGTGATCACGATTACGATTACGATTACGATTACGCGCGTGCAGATACGTAGCTTTTGGAGCAAGCGTGCGATCTATCCGAACGTAAGCACTGCTCGCGGAGGAAAGCCACAGGTCGCCGATCTAGAATCCAGACGCTCGGTTTAATTGAAACGGTCGAACGTACAAAATATGCAGCCCCGTTGCCGTAGCATCGTTTTAATAATCGATGGACCGATCCTTCGAAAAGTTAACGGCAACGTCTCGCGGGTTGCGTCCATCTGCTGCCCGATTCTCTGATCGATACCTGGGAACGATAAATATTCCAAGCTCCGAGCAACGGCGAGAGCAAATTCGTTCCGAATGAAAAGTAGACGAGGCTGCGACGGTTCGATATCAAAATCTTCTATCATCTTCCGTTATCTCCATCGAAAATATCGCGAATCGTAGATCGTCGAGTACTCGAGTCGCGAATATTTCGTTCTAGAAAACGCGTCCGCGGAGTCGGTAATTTTCAAGCTATTCGAGAAGAGTCGTGGCCCGACCGAAACTGAAAATTAATCGTCGCGGAGAGAGGGCTGCATTCGCGAACAATTTATACGTTGGTTCGCGATCGATCTCTGTTCGACGTAACGATGACCCGACGAAGAGTCAATTTCCTTTCAGAGACGGGCAACGATGGACGTACGTGCACACACGTATCTATCGTATAGTTGGTCCGTCGAAACGTTGAAACGAAACGCGCGATGAAACGATACACGGTCATTTTTTTTTATCGCGATCCTAGATAGAGAACGTATCGTCCCAAATAAACAGCGTACGAATCCGCTTGGTCACCTATATACGCCTTCGCGTGCTGCCATTTTCACGGTAAAAGAGCAATCTCCGCTCGTAGCGCTTTCATTGCTATCATAGAACACGTATGCTGCTTTGTGGACGCGACGAGCGCGTGCTCCACGCGACACTTGTGATCTTCTAGCAAACGTCGTCTCTACTTACGATTACATAGACTACTGCTGCTACTGCTACTATTACTACTACTACTACTATTACTATTCGACGAATATCGATCTCGATTAATAAATCGATCGATTAACGATTCCTCGAACCACGTATCCTCCGAAGGAACGAAAAACCTACTTTCCGCTGTTCATTACCCCGAGACGAATCGCTCTCGGCTCGATGTTTTATCGATCGATCGATTGCGGTGGCTTACAATTCGAACTTAATTTTTTTTAAATATTTCTTGTCGCGTCAAATGGAAATGAAATCGCTTTTAGTTTCCAAGTTCCATCCGTTTCGGATCGTCTTGCTCAATATAATTTGTACGTTACTCGGTTATATTCGGAGTGTCTGTTGCGCGTCATTTATCAAAGCGAGATGTATACTATTGGGATTATGGTTTGGATTCTTCCTATCGAGTAAATACGATATCAATTCTTTTACTTAAAAAGCTTTATTTTACTTTTATTCGAGAGAAGGTATATGTGCGCGAAGACGACTGAGCGACCAAATTCGACTGAGAGACCGGCAACTGAAAATCGCCTGCTTATATACTCTTTTTGGTGTCGGCTTCTCCACCGATCGTAGACGGTCGTTCGTTTATTTACGTTGCCTGTAAAAATTCAACGGTATCTTAACAATATACAGACAGAATATACAGACACTCTGTATACAGTACATATCAGACTCCGTCGTCCAGAGAAATAGCGCCGCGCAGAATTCAGCCGTACCTAAAGGGTTAAAAGATACGAGACAAGTACGGAGGATTCGTTGTTCACCAAAAACGATACTTGTCCAAACGGCGCGATAATGCTCCGAACGTTCCTTCGGCGGATGCGTGGATCAAGATTGCGAACCGTGCAATCTAGAATAGAACGTCGGTGTTGAAGAAATCCTAGATGAAGAAGTAAAACGTACGATGTTAGTTGAATATCGTTGTTCGATGCGACGAGCGATAGAGTGACGAATAAGCACAGTCAAAGATACACACACACACACACACACACACGCGCGAGAGGAACATTGATTCGCGAGTTAGCTGGTTACGATAGCAGAGAACGTTTTCTTTCGAAAGTGGTAGAGAAATTACTGGAAAAAAAGAAAAACATTGAACAAATTTGCGTCCCCGGTTGTACTTTACATATCGCGAGTCCGCGTACATGGCAGCGTACAAGGAACGGTAACAGCAGTGAAAGGGTTAGCGGCGTTAACGTTGTCCGATGATAACCGGATCAACGAGAACGCGGAAACCGCTTGTCGAGAGCGTTCCGCGTTGCGAAAAGGGCGCGTACGCGCGTACTCTTTCTTGTCCCAAAAATTGGATCGGGTTTCGTTCGCGTATTCTTCGTAAATCTCCATCCCGAGATCTCGAACGGACGATCGTGCAGAGAGTCGACGCGGTGGAAGAAGATCTTCGACGAGAACATCGACGACGATGCACGCGCGATTAAAACATCGACGGTGTTTCTTCGCGCGCGTAAAAAGACGGTACCCGAGATTCGACCGAAGCTCGCCAGTTGCAAAGGTGTTCGATGTTGGTTCGATCGGTGAAAATAGTTCGACCTTTCGAAATAATTAAACTTGTTCGGTTCGATTTGTCGCGTGCGACGCTCGCGTTAACGTAGCCATAGATCGATCGTTGAAACGCGTCGGATCGTTCCGGATTCGATTACCGTGCGAAACTCTCTGTATCGTCGACCTCGTTCGGCTACCCTCCGAGTTATCGTACGAAGCGTATTTTTTGGTAGGACGCGGTATTCGTCTGTAAACGGGGTGCTTTCGAACGCGACGCCTCCTCGATGCGCCGAAAGCCCGAGGCATCGAGGAGCGGTCTCTCGACGAGCGGTTACCGTGTGAAACGCGCGGATGCGCATCGGGCACTGTCTTTGTATCGGTGAACATCGAGCTCGCGGCGCGTTTGTTTCGCGATCGAGGCTTCTCCGCTTTGAAAACAGGGAAATCGGTTGTTCGGCCGGCCGTGTCGGTCGCCGACCGCGACCGTGCACCCTCCGTGTGCACTGCTCTCATGTTTTACACGGAACGGTGATGCGCTTTGGACGCGTTTAACAGACGCGCGCGGTGTAATCGTGAATCTGATCGCTATTGTACGTGTTCGTTTGGTCAGGCCGAAGTCCGACGGCTATTGGGAACCGCAGAATCCGCTTCGATTCTACGCGATCGCCGGAGCGACTTACGTGTACTTCCCGAGCTGGAGTTCCATACAGATGGAATTGATAGACCGAGTAATCCCGCACACGGGCTTTAGATTCACGAACAAGCGTAACGATATTGGATTGTTCAGGGTGACTATTATGTGTATATATAAGTTCTGTGTGGAAAAATACAAATAAAAAAGCAGTCATGAATACACCGTCGACGAACGGAGACGCCGTTCATCATTTGCTCTCCCATTTCTCGAGCTGCCGGGACGGAATCACTTTTTTCCAAATTTCTTTAAACATATTAAATTGCATTTGGACGGAATCGCGGATAGCCGGCTAGATGTCTTCCGTTCATCTTCTGTTCACCACTCTTTTATTAGGAAAATTTTGCGGTTCGAGAATATTCCGAGGGTACGGAAATGTTCAGGAGACTCTTCTGTATCTACAGAAACACGTTTATTTATCGTTGTAAATTCTTGAATATTAAAAATAGAGCGCCATTTGTAACACGTGGCGCCTCTCGCGGCGAAACCTCGAAGCTCGGCATAGAAGTCCGTACAGCGCCAATTAGTATATGGCAAAACGCTGAAACTCCTAGCCAAAACGAGCTTCGAGATTTCGCCGCGAGAAGGCGCCACTGTTTGGCTAGTAGTTTCAGCTTTTCGCCATGTACTAATTGGCGCTGTACGGAGGTCGAAGGAAGCTTCTTCATTTTATCGCAAGCGTCGCCACTAGCGTAAAAAAGATAAAACAGAACTCTCTTGTTGGGAGTGTGTTCATTTTTGAAAGTTTAAATGAAAGCTGGAAAATCGAGTTTGTGGACCAACCTGTATATAGTAAAAAGCAATATTTCCTATTTTTCTCGCAATTCCTACCAATTGCAATTTTCTCCAAATTTTTTTTTGTAATATTTTATATGTTTTTATTGAGACACTCGATCCATCAGGCATCGGGGATTATAAGTAATCTATCGTATTATCGTTTACTTCAAATGATACTTCTTCGAACGAAGCTCCTTTATTGTTTCTACAGTGCCCTTCTTTCCTATGCAGCTTAAGAATCCTTTTCTCATTAACACTTATGTGAAATATGTCATCATTCCGGAGGCGTATGACGCGAAACTATTCGACCAATATACAGAACCGTGCGCCGTAGCTGGTTGGGGAAAAAACTTTCCTGGATCGGATGTACGTTATCGATAATAATTACATTTACCGCGATAATTGGGAAATTACAATCGTGTTACAATTTTTACTATACTTTGCGCGTGACTCTCTTTCAGGTCGGATCTGGTACCTACCTTCGTCACGTAAACATTTCGTTAATTCCTCCGGAACAATGTCAAATAAATGAAATAGATAAAAAAGTGCATATCTGTGCGGGTGTGGAAGAGGGTGGTAAGGATGCTTGCCATGTGAGCATCGTTCTATAAACATTTGTATTACTCTTTTATTCATATTATTTCCTGTTATCGTAACGTTATTTTCTGGTCTTAAAAACCGGTGATATCACAGGGTGACAGCGGTGGACCATTACTCTGCAAAGATATACAAGTGGGTATAGTATCGTGGGGAAAAGGATGCGCTCGTGCTGGAACACCTGGCGTGTACACGCGATTGGACGCCTACCTTGATTGGATGAATTATTCCATACTAAATAATTATGCAGTTAGAAATGGTTTAAACGTATTAACTCTCGTTTTTGTATTGATCGGGTTACTATTTTTTGTACTATGAGTCATTAATAAACGAATTAAGACAAATTTTATTCATGTATTGCTAATTGGACAAGTACCTAGCATAAGGACCTACTTCTACACGTTTTTCTTATTCTCTAAGCTGGCGTGCACATCCTAACATTTTACTGCACAACAAATCCGCGGTACATAGATCCTGTCTCAGCAGTGAATCGTCAGCCAATCGGGGCAAAGAAAATTTCTGTACGTTCCCTTGCCAGCGGATCGAGCTGCGGCCTGGAGGTACGCATTGGAACGCATTCGAAATGTCGTGAACTTATTTAATTCATAGTACTGTTCATAATACTGTTTACGATCAAAATCGTTCTTACTTTTATTATTTATCTACTCCTGCAAAGCACCGACCTAACGAAAGCTGAATATTGAATTTTTTGAAATAAATGTGTTGGAAAGCAGAGAAAGTTATCACATGCGCGAGACTTTTGATAGTTAATCTTCTGAAATGAAAACAATTTGAAGAGTAAATATACAGATATGTATTGAAATTAAAAAATAGAATTTACATATTCTGTTCACGGTATAACAATTATGAATCTTAAAGGTAAAAGTTCTCCTACATTTTTTAAAAATACATATTACCTAAACAGCTTGTATCGATTTATGTTGCAGAAAATCTGTTAAATTCGAGCACTTGTAAACAAAATCATACCGTATATAAATTTCCATTTGTTGGATTAGATGATAAACCTTATGATACAAAATGTCTTTTATGTGATATAAAATTTGTTCTCCCTGATAATGAAAAGGATCTTTTGACACATTTGTTTAAAGAACACAGGCTTGTAATAGGGGATGTTTGGAACATTGCTAGTTTAAAAAGGTTCTCTCGAACTGTTATTATGAAAAATACTTATTCGAGATCTTATAAATCCAAACTTACATTGCTTTCAATATTTTAGCTATATACATTATTGGAGTATAAAATTTAAGGAAGAGCCGATAACTACGTATTGTACAACGATGTTAATGGATTGCACACCCGATGGACAACCGAGTAAAAATGAAACATATTTCCTACTTTCTGATTGCATCTTAGAAGATAAAACGTTAAGAGATGAAATACACAGGGCCAAGTTGGTATGAAATTTATATTAAGTTTAAATAAATCGTATCGTTATAGTATGTTATAATGTATGATTTCTTATTCAAGGAATGGGTTTTATCGGAACAAAGCAAGGAAAGAACCGACACTAATTTTAAACGGGGATGTATCTTTTGCCGACTGGAATTTTCAGGATTACGTACCACGTACATAAAACATTTGGCGCAAGAACATAATTTATACTTTGGGAAACCGGATAATCTAGTATTCGTTCATGAATTTATAGATAAGGTTGAGAATACTCTTGAAAAGTAAGAGGATAAAAATATAATTTTACCTGTTTCGTATTATTTTAATGTATATTATATATTCTATTTCAGTTTGGTGTGTCTATATTGTGAAAAAACATTTACCGATCGTACGGCATTAAAGGAACATATGCGCAAAAAGTTACATAAGCGCATAAATCCTAACAATAAAGAGTACGATAGATTTTATATAAATAATTATTTGGAGCCTGGAAAATCATGGAGGCATAAACAGGTAGCGTATTATTATTAGACTGTGGATCTTTATGCAAAAGAAAATGTTCCTGCGTCGATTGCGAGCAACAGAAGTCAAATAAAATTGTGTTTCTCCATTTAATAATGCCGATACATCATCCTTGCTAAGAATCTATAAAATCCACAGTCTAATTATTATAGTATATGAGATATATTTTTTGAATACATTAAAATACAAAATATTATTTTAAATTTTTGTTAGGTTCAGAGTAAAGTAAAGGAAGATGATTCGGTAGGGGATCAAAGCAGCGAAGACGAGGGAACATGGTCCGATTGGAATGATGAAAGCATCGGTATTACATGTTTGTTCTGTACACACACCGATAAACATTTCCATCTCATGCTTGCTCATATGAAAATTGATCATGATTTTGACTTCCAAGAAGCATCTAAAGATTTATCGTTCTATCAAAAAGTAAGACACGTTGCTTTAAGTAAAGAAATATTTTCGTAGAGCTTATAAATTTTAACTTTAAAACAGGTGAAAGTGGTTAATTATGTAAGAAGTCAAATTCAATTGCGACGTTGTGTTTTTTGTGAAGTAGAAGTGGAGAATCCCTTGGAGCATATGAAACAACAAAATCATTTTAAGATACCTGTGCAAAAAGTATGGGATCAGCCGAAGTTAGTATTTTATGTAAACGAATTTTGGTACAGTGATATTAGTTAATAATTAATTATCGATATAAAATTTTTCAGATTTTACTTTCCTCTATGCGAAAATGATTCCTTTCTATACAACTTGGATACAAGCGGTAGCAGCGATGAAGAAAGTGAAACAGAAAATGCTGTAGAAACAGCGTTAGGAGAATTAAAAGAATATACAATTTCTTAATCTAACAGAATATTGTGGCGGAATGATTTATCTCTTAACAGGATCTTGTGAATGATGAAACTGTTAATTAGAACAATATGTTTATATATTTTATAAATATTTGTCAAAGTTATTATAGTACATTACCCCAGAGCATGTGCTTTATAATATATATATAGCGAAATATAAGTGTGAATGTAGTTTATTTAACTGTGTTTTATCTTTATATAATTTCACTTTAAGCAAATACATTGTTTTACGAATTAAATTATTCTTCAATTAGCAATAACAATAAATTATCTCACAATGATACATAATGGAATTAAAACTTATTGCTACTCAAATTTGATTGAAAACGATCGCATTAGATTAAAAATAGTAGGTATTATAAATACTGTTGCTTTCCAAAAAGCTAGAATTTGCGCTGAAAAGTTATATCAACATTTGACTTTTAAATTTGCACCTCCGCAAATTGTGGAAATGTTTCAAGTCGACTGGCACGAATATATTAAAAACAGAAAAAGGGTAATATTTACATAATTTGTATTTAATAAAGCATATTACTCTTGAGTTGCATTTTTGTTAATTATAACTTACTAGTTATAATTATACCTTCTAGGAAATTGGAGGTAAAACATGGTCATTGACACAAACTGTTGCAGTTTTTATAAATGATAAATTTCTCGGCAGCGATAAGGAATTTATACATTATATAAGTGAATCTTATATCTTTAGTTTACCCGTTAGTTCACAATATTATGAAAAAATCGCCATCGAGCAATGTAAGCTATTCATGGAAAAATCTAAGGTATTGTATATACAAGGTATTATATATAATATTATTTATAAATTATATATGTATAATAATATCGTGCGTTTTAGAGAAAATATGTTTATTTTACATTTAATATAAACAGCCGTACGATCGGTTCTTTTATGTTTATGGTAAGAATTCATGTTTGTTTTGATTTTCCACAGAATTATAGCTTTAGAAAATATTTTGACTAAATTTAATATTTATTTAGTTATATTCTGATCTGTTGCCATTGACTTGCCAATATTTTTTAAACCTTTGCACCGGTTATGATGCGGTAGCAAAGTGTTATAGAAATTCTTATTACATAAATATGAATGTGCATCGCATAGTAAAAAATGGTTGGATACAATGTGGAGGTAAACTTAAATACGATATAACATGACATATATACGTATTAAAAGTAATTTAATTATTTTATATTTTTATGCAAGTTTTTATTTACATCAGGACTTGTATCACCTAAAGAAGATACGAATTTTGTGGACGATATTATTGCAATACCTGACGAGTCTTATTGCATTCCACATGATCGTCGCGGAGTCTTATCTATGGTAAATAATGGAAAACATTGTAATGGACCACAGTTCTCTGTATGCTTAAAACCCAATCCATGGATGAATTGTTATTATGTTGCTTTTGGGTAAATGAAAAAAAAAAGTAACTCTCTAGAAATACGTATTTGTGAAATTAGTTATTACAATATATTTATCCTGAAAAGACAACTCGTGGATGGAGCTAAAACTTTGGAAACATTAGAAAAGATATCAACATATTATGAACGCCCCTCTAAAGAAATAATAATTTCAGATTGTGGAGAATATATCTTTGTAGATGAACCTAAGATGGAAACAGAATCGAAAATTTTCCTTGTTAGTAAAAATGATTATTATTAACTTGAATTTGTAATTTTGTGTTCACAAATTATACTGCAATTAATTGTACTTGATTTGATTTTTATACTTTTTAAATTTATGTTAATTTAAATATTATAGATACCATAATTTCTATCATTATTATCAATTATATATTATATGTGTTTGTGTTTCAGAAACATCAACCACCAATATGTACAGAAGGAGAAGCTATGAGATATAGTGATACTGGGTTTGATTTTTATTCCATTACATCATGGCTTGACAATGTAGTGGATAAAATAGATGTTCGTGATACAGCTTCGGTTTTAATGGCAGAACGCTATTTAAATGGTCTTTATTGTCTCGTATCTGATTATGAACCAGGTATGTAAGAAGATAGTTCATATTTACCAACATTGCTCTGTAGCCTCATTATATTACTCCGGTAGGAATGGATATGCGGGTGTCTGAAGAAATTCATTTAATTCCAAAAGATAGTACTGGAAGCGTGACTGAGGCTATGCTTCAACAATTATTATTGCAGTTTCATCCAAATCAAATAACTGAAGAAGAAAAATTAATGTTTGTCTCTGAAATTTCTAAAATAATTTTAGCTTATCTTTTCTGTTATGAGAATAATAAGGTGAATTGAATATAAAAATTACATATACATATTTCTGTAAGAAAGATAACGTAACATGTAAAATATCATAATATATGACTTTATAGTATTGCTTGAAACATATCTCGATCGGCACTCGTGAAGCTATACATAAAATATTGGAAGTTGCACACAAGATAGCTTCAAAAGCTGTTACAAAATCTGAAATAACACAGAAATGTGACGATGTAAAAATTGTAGAGTATGTTGACTAATTCTCGATTATTAGACATTACCCTGAAAGTGTACGTTTTTATATACATGCATTCATTTCAATCATTTTGTATTTACAGTATAATTGAAGCAAAGCGGATTGAATCGAATCTATTGATTTCAGAAAATTGTATCTCATTATTACAAGCTATTTTGAATGAAGCTATATTATGTTTTATAAGATCTTATGACATACAAGAATGATGAAATATAAAAATATAATCGAAATAAAATTATATATTATATCAGTATGTGTATATGATTTTAATTTTAATTCTAATACTTTGAATACATTTAAATTATTCTCTACGAAAAGATACAGATACAAACTTTTTCTTATTTATTTATTTTATCGTAATCCTTTTTTGTATCACATAATTTCTGACACAGTACACATCGATTACAAACAAGTTCCAAACACGTGCAAAATATGATTTAACAGTATATTACATATACATATTTCATTGCTTGATTTTTGTGAACAGTCTTTTTCCCCGCCCTCTACTAAAGACGGTTTTTTTAGCAGTAGTAGCCGATTTTTCATCGGCTGCAGAACATTTTTCATGAAGCCCATTGTATAACATTTGTGCTTCATTTTTATTTCCTATCATTTCCGTTATTTCTTCCTGTGAAGATAAATAAAAAACACATATAGAGAAATGAAAATATTTCTTCAATATTATGTTGTTTGTTTGAATACATACTTTTGTAAGTTTGACAAGATGATCTAGTGATTGTCCTTTATTCAGAATTGAATACAAATTTTTAGTGGTCACACCTGGTAGTTTGGCGATAAAATCGTGAATGTGTGAATTATATTTTGCTGCTTCTATCTGATCATTTTCTTCAATTCCGACCTGAGCAGCTTTTGTAGCATCTGGTTGGGGTTTTCCTAGCTGCAATATTTCATGTGATACGAATGAGGAGTATTTACTATATTTTATAAAGCTTCTGCATCACTACCTTTAACTCTTCGAACAATTGTGCTGTTGCATGAGGTCCAGGTGACCATATAAGTTTTAATCGTGGAAAATGTAGAGTCAACAGTTGTAACTTAGAAGTTATGGTCATATCTTGTACATCTGAGCTAGCGTAATAGTGTCCCTGTAATTAGAAAAGTTATTTTTTAAATAAAGTGAGAATATTTTTTATTTATAAAATGTGAAAACCTGTCTACCTGAAAGCAGAATGCTTTGTTTGGATCAAACTCTATCAAAAGCATTGGCTGGACATAATGTCTCGTCATGGATACAGCCTGGTTGTACAATCTACCGCTAGATAGTGAACCAATTAAATCTGAAATACTTTTTCTTTCCACGCATATTTCTGGTGACAAAATATAATCGCCAACCTATAAATTGAAAATAAAGGGGTACATGATACATCGAGCTTAAATTAAGAAATAATTTAAATTGGAAATCAAATGCGTCTTGGTATACCAGTAATGTCATAGGTTCAACCTTCATGCCTCTTGTGTAAAGTATTGCAGGAAGTTCACTTCTAAATTCTCTTATATCAACTATGACAGTGTTGGTAACTTTGGATAGAGTTGATATTCCACCTTTACGCGTATTTTCTTCGATGTTTGGATCTGCTTGCACCGTATCGTTAAAACAATCGTCAGTTTTACCGTCTTGGTCTTCAGGAATGACCATTGTCTAAAATCGAATGAAAATACGATACAAGTAATGCAAAATAGTAATGTAAACAAATTAACAGCTTAATATAAAATATGGTAACATTACGGTTTTGGCATTGATTAATTTTTCAAACGCTTCCTTTTCTCGACGCAACGATGTCAGATATTCTTGTTCTTCCACAGAGCCTCCATAGATTAAAAAATATACTTTTAAATCTATCGACGGATTATTATTTTGGTAAACCTACAAAATAATACTCGTTTATACATGTTATTACATTTTAGTTATAAATCAACAAAATCTTTTATATTCCTTTTATGCATACTTCAATTTGTCGCACAGCAGAAATATCAGCTACATACATAATAATATTTGTTGGCATATGTTCTTCCAAAGCACGTTGCAAAGACATTGGATCATCATTTCTTTTCAAAGATTGTATTAAAATGATAGGTACATCCGCTGTTATGTTGGATAAATCTAATTCTCCGATCTATTAAAATATTACATTACAATTTCACGATGTAAAATACTTTAATTGTAATTTTCGTTAAACAACGTAGCAAGGCATTACTTGTGAACATTTTTCAAATAAAGTTTCATGTTTGTCCTTTTCTTCTGCTAAATCAGATTGGCTTTCTTCAGAAACTTTTTGACTTAACGTTAACATATAACTATCTTGCTCGTTCTCGTCTGTATCATTATTAGCGTTCTCTTCTGATGTTGATTCTTTTTCAGTTTCTTTTTCTCTGTTTGTAATAAAGTAGTTAAATACGATTAATTATAAGAATTGATTAATTTTATTTTTCATTGATTATTACCTTGTTGTCTGCATTTCTTTGTGAGAAAGTTTCTTCATTGCCTCGAATAGCAGATATTCATCAGAACCCATAGTTAAGTAATTTTTTAATTGGCGACATATATTACGATCGTGTACCAAAACAAGAATTTTGTCATTAGTTTTGCAGTCTTTTCTTTTTTTATTTTGATGTTGAATTTCCAGGAATATTTCAGTTAAAGCAGCCCATTTAGGATTTGACTCTGGCTTTAATTCTACGTACAAATAATAGAATTACGCAATATGATCGCAAATTTGTTTTATGTACATTTCTAAGCACTTACCGCCTGTTTTCTCATTGTAAACCCTATTTTTTGCATTTTTGAATAACACGTCCACACAATCTAACATTAACCAACCACTGTTTTTTACAGCGTATTCCATAGTGCGTAAACGGTTTAACATTGAATAAAATGACACGCAATCTTCATATGTCAAACAGCTGTATGGTTTTATACAGCATTTTTTCATTAATAACATCTTAATTTGTTAAATAACATTTTATACATAAATACTTACGCTAGAAGAGCTCTTAATGTTTTTAAATCAGATAATAATTGTTTCGATGTCGGACTAAGTTGGTGCCAAATAGGATCTAATTGTGATTGCAACTGCTTGTGAAACTTTCTTGCAATTGCATTTTCAGTATTCAATTCATCTAAATCTAACTGCAAAAATATATTATAATTGAATTTCAATGTTATTATACGATATAATAAATATATAATAAGTCAACGAAAGTACTTACATATTTATTGAGCCTTTTCAATTCTTTAACTACATAATTCATTAGATCAAGTAAACAAATTTGTATGTTCAGCATTTTGGATGTGATTTTTGCATGTAATTCGATCACCTCAGCCTGTGAATTACAATTACTTGTCACAATTTATAATACGCAATATATGTTATATCATACAACCAACGGTCACATAATTTAGTTACCTTATGCTGGCCTAAACTATTATGTACAAGTGAATGAAAACGTGGCCATAAATACAATTTCTTTACAAATAATGCCTTCATTACTCGTTCTACCCGTGCATAGCCAACAGTGAATGCCAATGCTGAAGAAGTAAAAGCTTTGATGAAGCCTGTCTATGCAAAATAAAATAAACAATCATAACACTTCATTTTGTATTGCATATATATGTACTGTTTCAATTTTCTTTTAATACATACTTTATTATTTTGTCGATATAAACGAAGAGAGAATGCCTCTTGATACAAATTGAGAATGTTATGTGCTCTATAAACGAGAATTCCAGTGATTAAATTTAATGGAACTCTATTTTTTAATAAGTCCACTACAAAAATTCGACCGGATATAAATAAAACACCTCCTTCTAGATATATTATCGACCTGTAATATAAAGATAAAAAAGAATTAGAAGTACACGTAAAGAAACAAATTTTTTTGTTCAAAGTAAAAACTATTGATTTAAACCTTTCATCTGAAGAACATTCTGCGGTTATAACACGGGGTAATTGGTTTATCTCAAATTTTTTTAATCTATCAATAAAGTACTGTTCATCTTGAGACGTAGTTCCTAGAACTATAACCAAGTTTCCTGGATCTATATAAGTTCTTAATATATTCATAAACACAGTTTCTATACCAAGTCCCCTAAAATAAATAATAAATTATATATGGAATATTTTACAATAAAAGGCCAATAATAAAATAATAGTAGGCACTTTGCAGTAATAACAAGACCATCTTCATGGAGCACTTCCAAAAACATTTGATTCTCGTATTCCAACATATTTATATTTTTTTACTATTATAATTATATACACATCGCCACACGGTTTAAAGAAGTATATCTAAATGTTGCCATGTACAAAACAGAATTTGACGAAGCGTATCTAAAAGGTGCCATGTAATGAGAGCTAAAATCGATAAGCCATGGTCCTGAAATAAAACAATATGATCGTATTTAGTATACAAAAAATTATATTTATGGAATATGTAACCGTTAAAGTTTGGTGCATATTTATTTCATATATTTTTATTTCTCAAAGAATACCTCATCGTTATCGTCTTCATAAACGTCTTCTGAATCTTTATCGTAAAAAATATTTTCTGTATTCGCTGTTTCATATACTAATAGGATATATTTACTACTTTCATGAGACGGGTGTCCATAAATTCCTATACTAACTGGTCTTTTAAAGCTAGAAGTTGATAATTATTATTAATATCTTTTGCTGTACTTTTACGCTAACGTTAATAAGTACCTATCAGGTATAAGAATTATATCTTCTCCACAAGTAGCAGACTGATGGCAATATTGATCAGGCTCGTAAGTTGGTTTTGTTGTTATTTGGGAAGCGTATATATCTGCATCTCCGGTTCTATAAAATTTAAAGTAGAAAAGCTTTTTCTTATATACCTTACACAAAAACGATACATACTACTATAATTATAGACTGTTACTTACTCAGACGTTAATATTATTTTGATGAAACCATCGTACGTTAGGCTATAATATTTGTACGAACCTCCGGTAACTTCATCCGATATATAATGCAACAATCTTTCTTTGAATGCTATCACATATGGTACTTGCTGATAAAAGTTATCATAACATGAAGAAACTAATTAATTTATAATAAGAATTTAATAAATACATCTTACCAAAATGATGAAAAGAAATATATTCTTCATAGTATGATGCAGTTTAACATGATCATTAAGCAATTGTTATAACATTAATCGCTGTAAATATTTAAAATTTTTATTGAAGCGAAATATTATACAATTAACCTTTTTACCTTGCTTTTAAACAACTTTAAAATATAGCTTGAAGAATGAATACTACCATTAATTGAAGATTTTTTGCAAGTAATTAAAACTTTCCAACGTTGTAAATTTACTGAAACTCCATTCGAAGATAGTAATTCCTTTGGAATATATTTCTCTTTTGTTACTTCGTGTGATAACGCTTAAATTCGGAAAGGTTATTTGACAAAGACGACACTAGGCATACTCGTTCAAATAAACTACTCAATGCCATGCGATATTAATAAACAAGCGTTTTATTATATTCATTACTACATATAATCATAACACGTTTTCCTGGATTTGTATTATCATTTTAAATGAGTGAAATTTTGTATGGCTAATGCAATTATAGTACATATATACGTTAATATACTGTACGTGCGCTTAAATGTAACAGCATAAACATTTTAAACGTCTTATGTATAAATATTTTCTACATTTAAAATTAGTATATTTTATATGTGATTTATAAGAGTTCTTTATCTTCATTTACGGTTATGTATTCCACTGTAACCTGTAACATCGTTTTTTGATAGATGTCAAAACAATTTGTACTATATTACCGATTGAGAGGCGCGACTGATTCGTTTACATTTTTTTCTCAAACAGTTTAAATTTATGACTGTAATGATAAGTATACAGTACATATTTATAATATTCGAAAATTGATCATGTAGCTATATTATTTAACGCAATGTTTAATCAGTGTTGTAAAAATCGTTTAGGTTATCTATTTTCTATTAAATTTTGTCTTCTATTTGTCTAAGTAAAATAAAATGAATTTTCTATTGGCCAGGATGAAAAATTAAAACTAGTGCATATCAGTATATATTCAGTGTTTCATATTATAAATATGTACAACTATTACATATTTAACGACGGTCTTTTTTGTCTGTGTTCAATAAATCATTGTCAAAAAAATATTTGTTCAAAGCAATATTTTCATTAGGTTTTTATAATCATTTTATACATAACTGTTAACAGACAAATGTTGATTTATTAACAATATATTATCACACGTTTCCCAATAATCTGAATACAATTGTGGCAGACACGAGGTTGACAAAGTTTTCTACATAAGTTTAATGCAAATCACTTTATAATTAGAAGTATTGTTCACACAGTCTACGTCTGCGATAATATTTAGTACGGTATCAAAGCACTCGTTTGATGACCCCTTGATGCTCGCACCTAACCCTTGGTAATCAAGCACGATATCCGGCGCATCATTATTAGGAAACGAGGTATTATAATTACTGTTTTATATCGGGAATAGGTCGTCATAATAGCGCGCTAAGGGAATTAATAATTAGCTCATCCCTTTGAAGTGAAGGAAAATTTGTATTACTAACAAAACTTCTGTATTACTAATAAAACATTTTATTTCATATCAATAAATTCTATTTGTATATAAAGAATAAATTAACGCTAAACCTATCGAGCACTAAATACGACTAGTATTCCTTGTCAAAATGACAAAATTAAATTTATCTAGAGCGTGCGCAATTTTTATTACAGGATATGTTCTCTATAATGTTGATACTTATAAAATAAAAAATGCGAAACCGCTTATTTGATTAGCAATGACGGATGTTAATGTTAAGGATGATAATGTTAAGAAACAAGGATATTTTTCCAGCAAGAAAGGGAATATAAAAAAGGGGTTAGTAGAAAGTAATTCATGTTTTAATTTATTATGTTACCAACAGCTATATATTAATACAGCTGTTGTCCTGTGTTATTGCGTAAGCCGCAGTGCCTTATGTCGTGGGCAATGCGAGCAATGTCGTTATCAGGATGCGTTAGCGTTAGAAGATCGTCATTTTAGTGCCGCGATTGGTATTGGTCCGACGGATTGTAGCGCGGTTACCTCGATTCCGCCAGTGCAATAGGATCGGCCGGTACTTTTTCCTATATCGATATAAGCTACCAGACCGGTAACAGTCTCTCCTTCTCGCGGGGTGTAAACAGGGCCTATGACGAGACCTCTAAGAAGAAAGAGGAGGGACTGAGCGGTAGCATGCGGGCGAGAGTGTTGACTAAGGACTCCTTGGCAGCGATGTGTACGTCGCCTTATTAGCAATGGGAGCAACACCCTCATGTTCAATATCAGTTTTCGGAGAACCGCTTTGAAATCAATAATATTTCATGAAAAAATAACATCGGTTACTTTTTAGCTTATGCAATCTAATTGAACTGCGAATAAGTGACTTTGTCCACGTAATATGAAAATTGAATAAGAAATTGAATGCAACGGAAAAGCTGCGGAAATTGGTTAAGTACTGGTTAAAAATTCTTATTAATTCTTATTAATTCTTTATAGTTGTCAAACTTGTTAACTCAAATTAATTGTTAAAATTATAAATAATAATTATAATAAATTATAATAAATAATAATAAATTGTTAATTGTTAAACTCAAATTAATTCTTATTAATTCTTTATAGTTGCTTCAAACTTGTAAGGAAAGAGTAGCCTTCAGAGAGACATTCGTTTTATCTAACATAAAATCTTTTTGTTGTACGTATCATTGTTTTTACGTTCTTAGGGTACAGAAAATGAGAAGAATTAAACGTCTAACGGTTTCTCCAAGATATTAAGGGATAATGAGAAATACTGCTACGACCGTTATAGAATTGCCGACATTCTCGGTGAAGTCAGCTAATCTATTGTCCATGAATCCATTATCTAAATCATAATACTCCCTCGATGCTGTAATTAACAGAAGGAAACTCGTATTACGTGGAATCTTTATAGTTGTACGCAAGCGGTCGGTCACTCGTTGCTCCGACCATGTTTGTACATATTTCCGTAGATATTCGGAATCGGAATTTAATACCGTTTAACACAAAATTCCGTAACTATGTAACATGCAAGGTGCTTAAATGTTTGCCTTTTTTTCTTAATGCAAGTGTTTGTATTAACAAACTATCAGCAAGCATTAATTGAACAGGAATTCTGAATTAAAACTGATTTCCTACGAAGGGTCGAGTAATTTTTCAATTGAACATTATCTCCCATTGTTACAACTTATTAAGGTATTTCATCAAATAGATTCCTCTCTCGTAATATTGAACGATACTTAGCGGGAAACGTCTGCTATAAGAAGGATATTTCATTGGAAATTTGAATATTATCAATTTTTCAAATTCGAATTCAAATCTAAGATGAGTCAGCGTTCAAATTGTCCAATAGAATTGGACGATAGCGATGCAAGTGCGACCATGTGGTCTCAATTTGGGAAACTCATTTACAGGACTCAACTTGCAAAAAGGATAAGCAAGAACCGAGTTGTGTTCTGTACCAAAAACTGCATATTTCAGTCATTGATTATGGGTCAAAGGTAACGAATCGAAATGCATCGATTATCGTATTTCGATATCTACGTACTTTGCAAAAAGCAGAAAAGCGGTTAGAAACAATACTTAATTACTGAATTAAGAAAATGATTCTGATTTAACGAATGAATAAAATTATCGCGTATTTTTGGTAACGTTTTTTCATAGATTGCGGGAAGATGAATGACCGTGGAACATAGGTTAGTGTTTCGAGTCGTTTCAAGCGACACATCGCGAAGGCCGATTAGCAGATTAGCCCGTACATCGATATGATAATTATCATCGCGATTAACCCTTTCGACGTTTAATTCCAAGACAAAACGCATGCAAAGCGTATACAACACGAGCTTTCTCCGCTTATTCTCGATTGTACTCGACGCAGAGCTAAACACGAATCGAGCATACACAGGTGCACGTTCTAAAAACGAAACGAAACACTTAAGGGGTTAAATTGCGCATTATGTTTCCCACTGTTCGAAAAACGAACAAAACCACCGGAAATTAGATTACTCCCCCGTGTAATAATTTTGTTCCGCTAGATTGCTGAATTATCGCATCGTGCACCGGATCGATTCCATCGCTAGGCAGTGTGCCTGTGTTCCGTACGATGGAACGTAGGGGACGGTGCACGGTGGATCGAGCCTAAGGGCGGCAGAGTGGGAGCGGGAGGGGTAGAGCGGCTCGGAGGGGAGGGAGAATGGCGGAGGGTCAAAAAATGTGTAGGTGCGCGCGCAGCTGCTTTGTCTCTGTTAGTCGCGCGGTGGTGGGGGGGTTAGCCGGACCACGAGGGGCCACAGGGGTCCGTGAGCGGACCATGGCGGACCAAAGGCGACTGCATCCTTTCAGTCGGCCGCTGAACCCGCGCGCCGTACGGTTGCTCGTGCGTGCATATCGCACTTGACTTCGATTCGTCGCGTTACGTTCCCCCCTTTTTTTTTGCTCACTGCCGCAGGACCACGCGTGTGACGTTTTTCTATTCGCCGGCAGTCCTGTTCGTCCGTCCGTCCGTCCGTCAGTTTTGTACCTGGTAAGGTGACCAGTTCGAAAGGAGACGAGGCGAAGAGAAAGAGACGACGACGACGACGACGACGACGACGACGTCGTCGAGGCCTGCGTGCGTTCCGAAGGAACCTCTCCTGCAACAAACAGGATCACAGCGGAGCGCTATCACGGATTTCTTACCTCCGATCGTCCGATTCGTTGGTGTACAGCTTTCTTAGATTGTGGTACGTGCGCGGGCGTAACGCCGGGCTGAAGTTCTTCTGCATGGTAAGTAAACCGTGAATCAAAACAACTTCCGTCTCGCGTCTCTTTTCTACCGGCGTTTTCTCGCGGTTGTCACGAGGCTGCGCGAAACAGCGTGGACCTATCGCTCTCCTCCCCTTTCTCTTCTTTCTCTCTCTTTCTCCTCGTTCGGTTCCGTTCCGTTCCGTATCGCGACCGGAGGATGTTACGTTCGCGGTAGAAACGTCCGATCCAGCAGCCGCGCGCACGCTGTTAACGAGCTCCTGTTCGAAAGAAACGGAGTCGAACGTTGATTAAGGTTTTCGCGTACACGTGTACGCGAGCGCCCGGAACTTCGGGACCGCGGTAAAAGTGACGCAACGAGAATAGAACGACAGAGAGACGAAAGAAGAGAGGATGGGAACGACGCGCGCGCGAAGAGAACGGGTTTATACTTTTCGTTGGATCGCGATTTGAAAATGACACTTTCGCCATGCGGCGTTGCAACGACGGCGCTTCACGTGTTTCCCGCCGCGAAGCCGCTTTCGACGCGAGGAACGACTCCGAAACTCGGAACACCGACGCGGTGTTAGGTTTTCTGTGGAAAATATCGTCACGTTCCGGCTACTTTTTCGCACTGGTTTTTCTTCTTTCTTCTTCTTCTTTCTTTTTAAAGAAAAGTAGATCGATTCAGCGTCGTAAAAGTGCGCCGAGGAAACGATCGACGCAATGAAACGCGTACACCGATTAAACGCTCGAGAATTCGCGAACGGGAGCGAGTCGAAGTTTATGTGGTTAACCGTACCCAGCGAGAGGAAGTGCGATCCGAAAGAAGACACCTTTCGCGGAGTTGCAAGTGCGCTTGATAACAAGGGTGTCGGTATTGTTGAAATCTCGCGTGTGTGCGACGAGTTCAAGCGTTTCTGTGGTTACGTAATCGGTGCACACGAGTGCACGGAATCTGACAGTGGTCTTGGTAACACGGGATTTCGAAAATGTGAGTAAAAGCGTTAATTGCAACAACGTTTCGTGTTGTTTCTTGTCCGGTGGACTTCGAATTAACGTTTCTCAGCTTGTCTCCCTCGTGTCCTCCGTTTTGTGTGCAAGATAATTAAACGACAAATGGTTATAATTAATGAAAATTACGTTCCCCTGTTGCGCATGCGAGTAATACGATTATTTCCCGACGATGGCAACGATCGCGTTCGCGACGTTACCTTTCTGTTATGGACTGATCAATTCGTAATCATCGAGTTTCATTTCTTGTAGTTTAACCCCTCAATGCACAGTTTTTTTAAAAAAAACACAATTTAGAACGTTGTCTTGGCAAGAAAATTACAAAAATACAAAAATATTAAATATTTATACAATTGGTATGATTTCTAATTTTCAGAATATTACTATTATTATTATTATTATTATTATATTTTATTTTACATTATATTCGAGTAAAATATATATTGAAAAATGAGCGAATCTGAATCTGAATACGCTGTCGGAAAGCGGCTCACAAGGAAGAGATAAGTCGTAAGTGATAAGTAGAAAAAGGATATATTTTATACTTGAATAAGTAAGTGTTATAGCTTACAATTCCATGTAAATGATAAATATCAATAAAACGATTGTTTTTATATATAATAATGTAAAGTACAACGCCGCTCGAATTATCTCGAGTGTGCACAGTTTGGCCAGTTTAGCGCGCTCGAGTTAACTCGAGCGTGCACGTTAAGGGGTTAATTTTAAAATAAAAACGAAAACGTTGTTTCTCACGATGTTGATGTTCGTGTTATCGATGCAGGAAACGATTATCCACTTCTACGACATTGAATTTCGTATAAAAATTCGCGACGCCAGACGCGAAGCGAGATCGACTCGGAGGGAATAGATTTTCGTGTTGGGGAGTACAACACGCGAGTCGAATAAAATCGCGTGCGTCCTTCTTCTCGAGACATTTATATCGATACCACCCCGACCGTTTCATCGGGGCAGAAAACAGAGCCGCGGCAGATAAATATTCCGCTGTCGTTTTAAGGTAGCAATTCCTGCAAGCGGGGAAGTTTAAACGTCATTATATTTTACCGCGTTTCTCTCGTATATTCCACGGCATCTTACCAATTCCGCGGTGTAATCAAGCGGAGAGGAAATGTTTCGACAAATCCGCCCTGCGACGAGTTGTGCGGCTCGGAGCCGAATTGCACACGCCGAAGGAGGTTTTATCGCGATTAAGTTGTTTCTCCTTTTCTTTTTTCTATTCGGGTCTCTTACGTTGTTACAGCGATTCGAAAGTCGAGGTCTAACGCGGAGCGAAAATCGTTAACGAGTAGACGGAAAATTAATTTCCATCGTACATTAAAAATTGACGTCACGCGCGATAGAAACGTTGCGTCAAATAGTCGAGCGTGCAGCTTCGAAGACGACACACGTTCGAAGTTGTATGCACATTATCGTGCACCGGAGAAACGATGCTATTAGAACGATGCATTTCGCGCAAAGAACGTTAATTCGGCGAAAGTCGGCGAATATCGAAGCATCGATTATCGAAACAATAGACAAGGATCAAATAGAGCACAGCAACGATCCAGAGCAACGGATGATTTACCGCCTTATTTATTGCCCGTGCAACATTGCGCGGATTCTGAAATATATCGTGTATCACTGTTTACTTACCGCCGTTTAAGAGTTCGATGAAATATTAACGCCACCGTTTCCCGCGTTTTATCGATGACTCTGTAATGCTCGGACATAATTTATCGCGGCACGGTTTCGTTCCGCGGAGTTACCGTGCAGAGAGACCCAGCCGTTTCTCGATGTCGATGCAAAAATTTATTTCGCCGGGCTCGGCTGTTCGCGCGGAAACAACGTTTTCGCGTAAATACATGTCCGACGGTTTATCCACCGGGGACAGCGAATACGCGCGCGTGCGAAGGAAATTTCAAATTTCGTTCCTGATTCGACGAAGGAAGCGAATCGATCGAGAGAACGCGAGGCTTCGATGTGTGTCAACTTTTTCGAGCGATCTTTCAGGAAATTGATTTCCTCATTGTTTCGCTCTTAATTATCGGAGGTTTAATCGCGGGGAGTCCTAGTCGACGTAGATCATGTTAATAAAATACTTTTTCTCCGACAAGGTTAATTTTATTCCAATCCGTTCGGATTTGCACGTTACAATGTTCATTGTTTTTTAATATTAAGACCCGAGGTCTGGAGGATTTCGAGACGGTCAAGTTGACGAAGTATTTTTTAAGAAAAAAAAAGTCGAACCGAAAACGGTACAGAGGCTTCGACGACGTGTTCAGAATGCGTTCGTTATTTCGATTCCGGCATTAGCCTAATTGCGAACAACGAGACGATGGCTTCGAAGGTGGATAGTCGAAGCGGAAAGGGTACGGAGGTTTTCGTTGCGTCGGGTTCAAGATACCGCTGCTATTTTTATTCCGACATTATCCTAATTGCGAATGGCTGGGAAGGGTCGTAAACGCGGTCGTATCTAAATTCGATCAAACTTTACTCTTGAACGTTGAGAGCATCTTGGAAGGTCTCCGTGATCCGGGGGTTTGATCTCAGGGCCAACCGTGAACGGCAACCCTTGAGTTGTGCCAACTCCAACACTAGTGTCGCAGTACGACAATCGATCTCGGCTGGAACACGTATGTATACCGAACGCATTTTCAGGTCCCGTTAATCTCTGTAGTATCGAGCACGTTGCCGAAGTCCCTCGGGTCTGAGAAATTCCAAGACCGACGTGTGCACGCAGAAAGGTGCACTAATTTTCGACTCGGATCTTACAATTTACAATTACACGAGAAAAATTGTAACTCGCGTTGCGCTCGGAAAACAGGATCAGTTGTTCCGATAAGTCTGCGCATGATTTCACGATAGTCATCGATATCCATTTAAGGGAAGCTTATTGTAAAGGGTATCCCATAATTGTGTTGGTACGCGGAAAGGGACGATTCCTGAGGCCATTCGAAGCAACTTTTCCCTTAGCGAAAATGCAATGCGAGGTTTCGTTTACGAGTTATTAAATAAAAACAGTGGCCAATGAGAGGCGAGATCGGTTGGCGCTAGGCTGCCGAACTAATGAGCGGAACTGGAA